CCATATACCTACCACTTAGATTCTATCATTGACATTTCTACAATGCTTATTTTATTCCCCCAATCTATTAGCTTACATTTCAAAGCAGATTGAAGATATCGGTATACTTCCTCTTAATTACTTCAGTATGTATATCATTAATCAGAATTCAATATTTTATGTTTTTTTTCTTTTTAAGATCAAATTACCTTCAATGAAATGTGTAAAATAAATAATAATGAAGTGCACAGATCATAAGTGAACATTTGCTGAATTTGGACAAACATGTACACACGTGAATAACTCAAGTCCCAATCACAGATAGTAAATATTATCACCAACCCCAAAAGTTCCCTAATTTCACATCCCAGTCAATTCCTGTCTACACTATCCCCAGAGGAAACCATTATTTTGATTTTTTTCTAGAACAGATTAGCTTTGCCTGTTCTAGAACTTCATATAAATGAAATCATACAGTATTTACTCATTTGGCTATTAAGAATAAAGCTGTAACAGATATTCTTGTAAGAGTCTCTTGTTGATATGTGTTTTCATTACTCTTGGTAACTTCCTAGAAGTAGAAATGCTGGTCATAGCATTGATGTATGTTTGATTTTATAAGAAATTGTCAAGCCTTTTCCTAAAGTGGTTATGCAATTTACTTTTTCCAACAGTGTACTTTTCCAACAATTTAGTTTTTCCAGTTGTTTCATATCTTTTCCAATATCTCTTCTTTATTCTCAACCCTTTATGTTTTAGCCTTTCTGGTCAGTATTTAGGTTTATCTTATTGTGGTTTCAGTTTGTATTTCCCTGATGGCTAATGATGATGAGCAGAGGTTGGCAAGGTATGATTTACAGGCTAAATATGATGTAAGGCCTGATTTTATAAATAAAGTTTTATTGGGGCATCTGTTTATGTGTTTATGCTGTTTTGTGCTACAATAGTAGAGCTGAGTAGTTTCAATAATGTATGACCTGAAAAGCCTAAAATATTTGCTACCTGGGTCTTTACAGAAAAAAAAATTGTTGATTCTTGACATTGAACATCTTCTCTTGTGCTTACTGGCCTTTGAATATCTATCCTGAAGAAGTGTCTGTTCATTTCTTTGGCCCATTTTATTTTATCTTTTTTCTTTTCTTTCTTTCTTTTTTTTCTGGTCTTTTTATTACTGACTATGAAAATCCTTTACATATTCTGGTTATGAGTCAGTTGTCAGATATATATATATTTGTAAATGTTTTCTACCTGTCTGTGGCTTGCTTATTTATTTTCTTACATGTCTTCTGCTGAGCAGATCTAAAAAATTTTCAAGTCTAATCTATATACCTAGATATCACCTATCTCTGTGTGCATGTGTTTATTTTAAAGAAAATAAAAGAAAATAGCTTTTTATATTTATATTGATACTATTTCTGATGTTCTTCATTTCTTCCTGAAGATCTAAGTCTTTGATATTATTTCCCTTCAAACTAAAGGTTTCCTTTAATAAAACTTTTAATGTAGAGCTGCTGGGATGAATTTTTCTCCTACATCTGAAAGATTCTTTATTTCACCATTATTCTTAAAGGATAATTTTCAGGATATACAATTCTGGGTCGATTAGTTTTTAATTATTTTGAAATATGATTATATCTTACTGGAGATTAGTAGTTATTCAAATAATTACTTTTTCTGAATGTAGTATGTCATTATTACATTGTTATTTTTAATTTGGCTGCTTTCAGTTTATCTTTGATCTTCAGCTGTTTGATTATGATGTGCCTATGCATGGTTCTTTATATATTTCCTGTTTGGTATTTCTGAGACTCTTGAATCTAGAAATTAATTTCTTTCACTAATTTTGAAAAATTTCAGTCTTATTTCTTCAAATAGTTTTTAGCTCCATTCTCTGCTCCTGGTACTATAATTACACATATATTAAATATTTTTATATTGTCCCATAATTCCCGGAGGCTCTGTTCCCCCACCAATTATTTTTTCTCTATTTTTCAAATTAGATAATTTCTATTAATTTATCTTTAAGTTTACTGACTCATTTCACTGTCATCTTTTTTTTTTTTAAGGTTTTATTTATTTATTTTGAGAGAGAGAGAGCACACAAGCAGGGGGAGTGGCAGGCAGAGGGAGGGGGAGAAACAGCCTTCCCACTGAGCAGGGAACCTGATGTGGGGCTCTATCCCAGGACCCAGGGATCATGACCCGAGCCAAAGACAGACACCTAACCTACTGAGCCACCCAGGCACCCCCCATTTGGTTCTTTCTTAGAGTTTGTATTTTCTGCTGATATTTCCTACTTTTCCTTTATTATGAACACTTTCCTTCACATCATTGATCATAAATATACAAGTTTAAAATTTTTGTCTGCTAACTCCAACATCTGGTCATCTTAGGCTATTTCTTTGTTCACTACCTTCTCTCCTGAGAATGGGTCACATTTTCTTATTTCCGCATATGTTAAGTACTTTTATATTGTATCATGGACATTTTGAATGGGCCTTTCGATTCTGCTATATTACCTTGTAAAAGGTAATTTTTTTTTTCCAGTTTGCACTCACAGGCAAATAACTTTGTTGAGAACGCAAACCACAAAAAAACTCTAAAGCCTGTCTCTTAAGGGCAATTCAGGTCTCAGTTTAGTTCATTAATTTATATATTTTCTCTAGCTGTGCCATTTGAAACATGCAGTGTATTCTGGAGTCAGTTGTAGATATGGGAAATGCTTATCAATAAAATTTTGAGATCCTCCTCTTGGCATTCTCTTTTCTAAGATATCTTTCTCATCTTTAAGCAGTTCTGGTTGCCACAATCTGTCCTCTGTTTCTTCAGACTGGAGATACTGTAGGTTTTCTTTTCTTTCCTCTTCTTTTCTTTTCTCTTTTTTTCTTTTCTTTTTTGCCTCTCTTTACAGATTATTGTCACATGAGATTCTTTTCTGGAATTTTTTCTTTTGAGTTAGCAGTTTTGGTAGGTCTTTGATGGCTTCAGACAGATTTTTAAAAAATATTTTTAATATTTATCTTTTAATTATTCTCAGTGTTTTCCTATAGGCTAATTCATCATATACAAAAAAAAATGTATGCTACCTTCTTCCTTTTACTTTGTATTCTAGTAATAGTGTTGACTAATTATTTTCAAAATATGGCTTATGCTCTATGCCCTTAGTCAAAACTACTTGTAAATATTCCAGGCTTTTGTTTACTTGACCCACAGCCATGCATAAAAGACAACTCAAATCTCGTTTCTTTCATCAAGTTTTTCTAACCATTCTAGAGGCAAATTATGTTATCTTTCATTTTTAGTGACACTTTTATAGCCCATGACACTTATGCATCTTATTTATAAATTTATAAGAGTATAAATTAATGAGTCTAGTTTCTATTAATCTTGAAGGAAAAGGAAAATCAAGAGTGCCAGTTAGGCCTCAGAGGCGGGACAAGATGAAATTTTAAATAGGGTGACCAGGGTAGGCCTAAATAAGAACGTGACATATGAGTGAATACTTGAAGTTAGCCATGGAGATAGCTGGGGAATTTCAGGAATAGATTACAACCACTGCAAAGACTTAGGTCAGGAGCATATCGAGTGTGTTTAAGGAACGGTATGGATGGAGCTAAGACAGAGGAAGAGTGAAAATGAGCACAAATAATTGGGAACAGGTCAAAATGGAACTTTAATAACATTTTTAGGAGTTTGCTTTTGCTCTGGGAGAAATAGAGGGTTTAGAACAGAGGAGTGATGTGATTTGACTTACATTTTCAAAGTTCAGTCTGGCTACTGTATTGAGAATAGAGTGTTGTTGGGGGCTTGGGGCAATGATAAAAGCAGGGAGACCAGATAGAAGGCCTGAATATTTCAGCTCAGAGGTGGTGGTCACTTGAACTAGGGAGATAACAGAGTAGATAAGAGGAGTTGAATTCGGCAAGTACTGTAGGAAAAAACCAAATGGGATTTACTGGCAGATAAGCTACACATAGAAAATTCTTACTCTTTGTTTACTTTATTATAATTAATCGAGTTTTCTGTTATATTATTCTCTTTAAAATATTATTGTCAAATTGTTATTCTTTTTAAAAATATTTTTATCAAATTCTTCTTATTGCATGAACCATCCTCCTATGTACTCTAGGGTACCAAGAACAGGATAGCTTGCTTTGGTATTAGAAGAGCTTCTGATTCTTATAATCTCAAAGGGTTTTATGAATTATCAGTGTTCCATTCTTTTGACACTGATAAAACCACTTTTCAGATTTGGAACAGTTCAACAAAAGGCCACTAGATGGTGACCTCTACTAAATTTTAATACTATGAACAGACTTTGAAGCGTTGATTAGATGTTCTGAAAGCCAGATTCAATATTAGAATCTTGGAATTGAAAGACACTATAGTGGCCGTTATTATTAGGTCAGGAAGGGTCAAATGACTTGAGTAAGTTATACAACTATTAGTAGAAAGAGTTATTATTCACTGAGGATTTATGTACCAGCCCCTTGTTATTTTTGTAGAAATATGTTACAAATCAAGATAAGGATACCCAATTTACACGCCTTACCTTATTGATGTTAGAATTTGTTCCTTTTGCTTTCAAAGGGAGATCTGCATTTTTAAACATAATTGTTTTGTCTCATAAGTTGCTTTATATTGTAATTATATGAAGTAAAATTATGGCTCACTTTTCCTCCCCTAAGATTGTTGATAAATAAGAAGGCAAACTGTGCTTTAAAAAGAAATTTCTGTGCCATTGTATTTTTCGGGTACTTTTTTTTTATAGTACATTGAAAAAAAAAGTCTTCCAAAATTTATTATCAAAAATTTGCCAGAATGGAATTATAAATATGAAAATTTAAAGCTGTACGACCAATAGATTCTGTTTTCATTATATATTTTCTGGGTTCTAGTTTGATTCAGAAAAATCATTAACTACGGTTAAATAAAAAAAAAAACCTTATGGAAGACCATTCTGAAACAGGTTATACTAAAATTATGGCTCGAATAGATAAAGGTATTAAGAAGACACTTACCTTGATGAAAACTGAGAAATGTATAGAATTGTCCAATCGTTTTATTGTACACCTGAAACTAATATAACATTATATGTTAATTAAACTTGAATAAGAAATTTAAAAAAAACATGACTTAGCATTTCTTTCTAATTGTTTTTCTGCATTTCTACTCTTGTTTTTGCAGTTTTGATTTAAGAGAGCATAACAAGATAAGCTTTTTACCAATAGTTCAGCAAGTCTTAGAGACTCATGTCATTATTAACATTTGTAACTATTAAAAAATTCTGCACATAGAGCAACAGCATAAGAATTAGTATGATAATTTCTCAACAGATATTTGACTGACTTCATGGCTTAGGAAGCCATTTTCATGATACATGCACTCAACTGAACAATGAAAATTAAGCAAATCCATATCAAAAGCAGTATGGGTTTTTTAATGTCATTTTTATAACTTCTGTAAGCTCCATCTTATCTTACTTTACATTCATTCAAAATGTAACTTGTTTATTATTAATGTGTATATATTATTCTCATGATTGTCATGTATATTTAAAATTTATTATTTAATCTTTTTCAGATATCTCTATAACCCTATATAGTCTAATTATAATAGTAATACGGTATTTTGAGTCATTATTACCTATTCTGCCTACCATTTCCCCAAATTCAGATTGCTCTACCATGTTAAATATTATATTTAGTATTATAATATCATAAATATTATAGATAATATAACTACCATGTTAAATATTATATTTAATATTATATCATAAATATTATAATACAATATAGAAATATTATGAAGCCATAAAGAGTAATAATTTAAAATAGATTTATTGTCAAATTGCTCTCCTAGAAATATTGTTCTAGTTCTAGTGTCACCAAAATAATCTTTTTACCCACAAAACTAAAATTTTTCATGTAAGAAGATTCTGATGGTTGAACATATTCTTTAACCACTGGTCTACTGGAGTTTAGATGCTACCCTTGTTTTCTTATGTCAGAATAATGTATTTTGGAAATCAAACAGATATCTGGCACATAAATCTATTTCTTACTCCACGTATTTTGGTTCATTTTGCTAATTTTCTCAATTTAATAGACAACATTTTTTCCCTTGATTCTGTTTTAAAATGTTCTAATTTTTTTTCTTGAAACTGAACCTTATGCTATTTTTCAATAAAGATAAACCATTGGGAACATTTTATTTGTCAGGCGAGACAGCAATAGAGAGGCTCAAAGGGGGCAAACACTGAGACCATGCATAGGAACCCTTGTAACCCTTAAATGCTTTTTTATTGGATAACTGACTCTATTTTCTCTTTTAAGATTCTAGTTTTATCTCCATTTAGTTGAAATGAAGTGAATATATCTCTTTAATATCATGTTATATCTGCTTATATCCTGAGATATTTAGAAGCCTCAATCACACTATAGTGTTTACATCGCTTTATACATAAAAGTAGGGGCATATACTTTGCAAATGAGTATTTGTCTTCTCATTTTATGTCATACATGAGTAAAAGCAATAGCCCCCTGGCCAGTGCTAGTTGTCAGTATTCAATTATTAAAATAAACCAAGTGTTAGTTCGACCACATGAACCTTAGACAGTTCCAGTATCAATAAAATGAGGATTCTGAGCCAAGGCATTTTTAAGAGTTAGTTTTTGCTGAAACTTTTCATCTGTAATTCTGTATCTGAAATTGTTAATATTTAAAATTCTCTGGTAGAGGCTGTTGGTCCAGGAGAATATATGTGTAGAATGCATAATACTGCTTTAGCACAATTTCCCCAAGTATTTCTGTTATTAACATGCTACCAAGTCTGGTATTGAGTTGGGGCGCCTGGGTGGCTCAGCCAGTTAAACATCTGACTTCTGGCTCAGGTCATGATCTCCAGATCCTGGGATTGAACCCTGTGTTGGGTCCCCACTCAGCAGGGAGTCTGCTTGCCCCTCTGTCCCTCCCCCTTGCTAATGTTCTCTCTTTCTCACACAAATAAGTAAATAAAATCTTTTTTAAAAAATCTGGTATAAATTGATACAATTTTGATGCATTTTAAATTCTTTACTTTCATTTTAGATTAATTTTTCTGACAACAAACTTCAGAAATAATTTCCCTTATGGAGTTGCTTGGGAATTAAGTGATATAATACATGAAAAATAGTGCCTGTGACCTATAAATTAAATTAATTAAATTAGAAACATACTATAGTGTTTTACAAAATAATGAAATAAAAATAGGGTTGCATTTTTTTAAATAAATTATATTCCTCCAAACATCAAAATTTTTCAAAAGCTTTAATGAAAACTTTCTGGGGTGGAATAATAGAACTTCAAATTTAGAAGGAGCTTATAGTTTACTTACTAAGTCTCTACCTAATGCATTATTTTCCTATTCAAAAGTACAACATCTAGATGAACAAGAGTATATCTTTCATTCATTAGCATTTCTGAGTGATTTTGTTCAGATTCTTTGATTAAAGCGTTTCTCATCATAATTAACTAATGGTTTCTCTGAGGTATAAAACTATAAATAAACTTTTCCAGGAATGACTGGTCACTTAATAACATATAATAATGAATTATTCAAATTATATGCAATACATCTCACAAAAACAAAGATTGCCAAAAACTCACTGAAATAAGGTAAAAGTAGTTCTTTTTTTAAAGATTTTATTTATTTATTTGACACAGAGAGAGAGAGAGAAAGAGCACAAGCAGGGGAAGCGGAAAAGGGAGAAGCAGGCACCCCTCCAAGCAGGGAGCCCGCTGAGCAGGGAGCCGGCTGAGCAGGGAGCCCGATGCAGGGCTTGATCCCAGGACCCTGAGATCATGACCTGAGCCGAAGGCAGACGCTTAACCAACTGAGCTACCCAAGCGCCCCCAAATTAGTTTTTTTTTTTTAAACCAAAGTACCAAATTTAATAAACTGCCTGGACTCATTTGAAAAGAAGACACAGGACTTAGTTCTATGAAGTATTTGAGTAGTTCATGATTTTTATTTATTTTCTAAACCAATTAAAACATTTTTCAGTGAAGTACAGAATTTATGTAGCCATTACAAGTGACCAAAACTTAAAGGAAATCTAGTGTTAATGATTATGATACAAATAAAAATTTGAGCAAATCTATTCTCTCATAAACTTACATAAAATATGAAGGCATGCAAATATCATGAAGTGAGCAGATACTTAACCTCTCCTAAAACATTATGATTTAATCTGATCATCAAATTACTGCTAGAGTATAACATTATAATTGAGATCTTAGGAGCAGAAGCCTCTAAACCTCAGTTTACACCCCACTTTCCCCCACCCCATGTCTAATTTCTAGTGTATTAGAAGGTATAATACTTCAGAATAATTTTTAGATTCTTTTGACTTTGGGTATCTCATGACCAAGTTTTTTCCTTCCTATTCTTACCATCACTTCCCAGACTAAGCCATTTACTACTGCTGCATATCTGAATCATGGCAGGCATGTCCAGACTTGTTTCACTATCCAACCTGCTCTGGGCCTGGGTCTATCCCATTTATCGCTGCTAGCTCTATATTCTGTCCTTCCTATTAGGTCACTTTGTTCAAGCCTGTTTCTTGCTCGTCTTGCCCACGGTTGAAAGACTGAACTCTCTGGAGAGGCACTCATGAGTTTCCATCATCTGACCTCAATCTGCTTTGGGCATAGTGAACAACAGTCCAGCTTAAAGGACATTTAAAGGACATTTTTTCTTATCTTATAGATAAGTCTATATAAGACTATAGAGAAGTCTTATAGAATGTAGAATGTAAACTCCACCAGAGCTAAGACTTGCCTATAAACTTAGCATTACTTGGTATTTAGTGGATGCTTTATATGTTAAACAAATGGATAGGTAAATGTCTCTGGGGCATGTAGCCAGTAGTCACTTGGACCTAAAATTCTCTTCTTTGATTCAGTGTTGTGTAATTTTTTGTCTCCTCAAAACTCCCAAATTAGTCCTTCTTTGTTTCCTTTTTTTACTTCTGCCACCTGTTAAACTGTGATTTTCCTGGAAGTCTATTCTCAACTCACTTCTATAAATGCACACTTACTTTTTAGTCAAAGTGTTTTCCATGGATGGCTGCAAGTTTCTTGTAGCACGGAGAGTCCCAATTCTGCTTCTCTTTAAGCTCTGTATTTATGTAACCCCAATTCCAAATGAGTATCTCAGGGGCACTCAAGTTCAGCATCTTCCTAATGCCAACTTCCCCTTGTTCCATAACCTTACATTTCTTCCTGGTTTGGATGAATGATACTAATATCCACCCTTGCCTGCACATGCCAGAATCCCAGGAGTCATTCTAGATTCCTCATTTCCTCAGTGTAGCAAGGTATGATGTTTTCATTGGTGGACTTCTATTTTTAGAGGATGAAGGTAGGGAGGAATTATGTGTCCTTTGTTTTTAAATTTTTTTGTCTTGAAGGATCCCTTCACTCTTCCCTCTTCTCTTCTTCATTGTGTGGTTTCCAAAGAGCACCTCTCCTTTTCTTTCTTTTCTCTTTTTAACAGCTTTATTGAGCTATAATTCACATCTCATATAATTCACCCACTTAAAGGGTACGATTAAATGGTTTTGTTATAGTCACAGAGTTATGTGACCATCACACCATCTAATTTGAGAACACTCTGTCCTTCAAAAAGAAACCCGTGGACACTAGCAACCCCTCCCATTCCCTTCCACCCCACCCCCAGCACCAATCGATCACTAATCTGCTTACTATTGCCATAGATTTCCCTGTTCTGGACATTTCCTGTAAATGGAATCCTACAAGATGTGATCTTCTGACTGTATACTTTATCCTCTTCCTCCTCAGGGAAGGATTACTTTCCAAGCCTGCCTCTTCACATTCTTGCCTATATGTGTAAGTCCCTTTACCATAGTCATTGCCCTCAGGGAACAGAGAACCTTTTCAGTATTTTCACACTTTTTCTGGAATTGTCTTTCCTCTCAGTAAAGACTTGAGGTAGAAGCAAGGGGGAGAATGTACTGGTATCTGTTTTATCAGTTTACTTTTTAGGTAACTTGAAATTTGGATGTTCTTTGTCTTCTAATTATGCTGAAGGCAGGTTTTGTATAGTTTTATTTGTGCATCTTGTTTTCAGAAGAAATGTTGGGAAATGCTGATTTGCATGGCTGCCATTGCTTTGGCAACCCAAAATTCCAACAACTTCCTATTTAGGTTCCAAATATTTGGAACACTGATAGTTACAAGTTAATTTTGAATGTTCCTATGTAACAAATAAGTGTGATTTTAGTTTCTGACTGTTTATTTGCTTTCTTCAGATAAAGACTAACTCTCAAATCTGTCTCAAGAGGTTGCATTTTAAAGCTAAGTCCATATTATTTTTATGAGACACATTTTAGAAAAACAATACTTGGTCTAGCAGAGCTGTTCTAAATCATCTTGTAATTTAGAAGTCATCTTCCTATTGTAAGGAATTTATTGTTTAGATTTGATATAATCAACTGTTTTAGAGGATTTTGATATAAGCATTTGTGAAGGTAATTGTGAAAGTAGAGCTAAACACACATGGTCTTGACATAGGAGATAAATGTGACAATATAAGGTGGAAGAACACTAAATATATCCTAAAATTAAGGAGCAATGATTATTTTTATGTATTTATTAGCATTGGTTGGTTTTGCTACTTCTGTATTATAGATTTTCTATATATTATCCTAGATTACAAAAACAAATTGAAAAAAAAACCTTGGTACTCATAAAACCTAACTTTTTCATTTAAAAACTAATGAGTCCGAACAAATTTCTTAAAAATCACACAATATGTTAGGGATAAAGCTGAGTTGAGAACGCAGAATCGGTTAGCTTTTTCTGTTTAACAATCTACTCCAAAACATAGTAGCTTAAAAATATCATTTATTTAGCTCACAATTCTGAGGGTCAGGAGTTTGGGCTGGGATCAGCTTAATAGATTTTCTGCTGGTCTTCCCTCATGGGTCACAGTCAGTTGTTAGTTTAACTAACATCTGAATTATCTAGGATGACCCCATTCATGGGTCTGGAGATAGCAGGCTCTTGGCCTGGGCAATAGGGGTAACTGGTCCAATGTGTCTCTCATCACCAGTAGGCTGGGCTTGTAGATGCTGGCAGTTACAGGGCTTCCAAGAGCAGCAGGGGTAGAAGCTGAGAAACCTCTTGAAGCTTAGGCTTCATTTTGCACAGCCTCATTTCCATCCCATCCTATTGGTCAAAGCAAGGTGTGAAGCCAGCGCAGCTTCTGAGGGGTGGGAAAGAGACTCTACCTCTCGAAGGGAGGAACTTCAAAGTACTTGTAGCTCTTCTCTTGTTTTCACACTCTCACAATCCCACTTAGCTAATTTCCAATCCGTGGCCCTCTCAGTACAGAAACCCTAGACAAGCAATTTGATAAGACAGCTTACCTCTTTACTTAACAGTAACTAATTTTTGTTTATGAAACTTAAGAGTCTTTATCCAAAAAGCAGTACTTGAAATGAATCTTTAAGAATAGGTTTTTCAGACAGAAATTTAAAACTTGTGTAGATAGAAAGAAAAAGAGGTGGAAAAGCACAGAACTTTGGAGAAAAAGGCAGGATTTGGGATAGTGAGAAGATCAACATGACTCGTGGGTTAGATCATGGAGTGGAAGGTGGAGCAATGTGGTGGGTGATGAGGCTGGAGGGGTCTTCTAATATCCAGAGTGTCTTTACATTCAGAGCAGGGGCTCTGCTAATCAGCTTTACTCAAAAATATGTTTTCAGTTCACAAGAAGCAATAAGGTAGAATTTCCATTTTGGGAAAACAATCCCCTGCTCCTGGAACAGGAAATCCTGAACAAATACAAGTTCTGTGAATTGCAGGATACTAATGTATAGCAGAGATTCTATGGATTCAGGGGATAAAAATTTCATTAGCACAGTGAGGGCATGATAGCAGCATGAACTGGAACTGGTGGGAAAGAGCACAGTAATCTGCATAGGTCATGTCATCAATGAGTCAGAAATACAGGTTACAGTACCGGAGCTCAGGAAATAGAACATAAATCAGTCAGCCCACCAGATGGTTCTAGCTCAGCACTTCTTGTCTCAGAAGGAGCACAGGAAGTGAGACATCATGACGCCAGCAGGTGGGAGACATCACTGGGGTCAATGAAAGCAGACAGAGGAAAAAGCAAAGTCAATTTGACTACAAAATCCTTTATCAATTTCTGGCACATTATTACCACTGTAACTCAAAAGGAAATAATCTTTGGACTATATTTGCAACCTTATAAAAATTTATGAACCAAAGAATGGCCTTTAAAGAAAAGAAGACTATTTTTATCATTTATTTCTTTAAGGTGAGAAAATAGCATAAGCAACGGGAATGCTATAGCTAAACATGCTATTTTATATCCTTTTGCTTTAATAAATGGAAGCATATCAGCTGATATTCATATGCATCTAGCACTGTCTTTTATTTCCCTAATTCAAAATCTGTTTCAATTGATCACACATTCCATAGTTACTATTTGTATTCTGCCCTGTGTTTTTCATTGAACACCTCTTTACAAATTAAATTACCTATTTGATTTTTGTTTGTTTGTTTGTTTCAGAGGATGTCATAACATCCTTCACAGTGTCCATTGCAATTGTGCTCATAATTGCAGGATTTATTTGGGCTCTGTTTGTTTGTTTGTCTCGAAGAAGAGCCAGCGCCCCCATCTCACAATGGAGTTCGAACCGGCGATCAAGGTCTTCTTACAACCATGGCCTCAACAGAACTGGATTTTACCGCCACAGTGGCTGTGAACGGCGAAGCAACCTCAGCCTGGCCAGTCTCACCTTCCAGCGACAAGCTTCCCTGGAACAAGCAAATTCCTTTCCAAGAAAATCAAGCTTCAGAGCTTCCACTTTCCATCCCTTTCTGCAAAGTCCCCCACTTCCGGTGGAAACTGACAGTCAGCTGGTGACTCTGCCCACTCCCAGTACGGTTCCCACCATCAGCACTTCGCACAGTCTGGGCCGTCCTGATTTCCACTGGTCCAGTCACAGCCTTCGAGTGGGCTTTTCCACACCACCTCCACCTGCCTATGAGTCCATTATAAAGGCATTCCCAGATTCCTGAGGAGGGTGCTTTGGTTTTTAATTTGTTTCTTCCTTTACTTGTCTTTTACTGACACAAAATTACAAATAGGCTAAACAGAATTTTGAGGTCATGGGCCAAACAGCTAATGAGTTTCCAAGCTGAGTTGCGCTCGGTCAGTTGGACATTACAATGTAAAACATATTTTCTTTGAATACATGTTTTCCTTCCTTGTGACTCACAAAATAGTAATATTTCCCAAATAGTTATCTATTTATGTATTTTGTACTCAACGTGAAGGTTGTTAAAGACGGTGATTCTTATCTAAGACTCAGCTGTGATACAGCACATATATATATTTTAGACTAAAATTAAAACTTCAGATACTTGTGGTTTATAATCCTCATTCACTGTCCGATGTGACTATAAAGGGAAAAAAAATCACTATGTCACTTTTTAAAAATAAACCTGTCCTAAGGAATTTTAATTTTACTTTCTTCAGAATGACATGAAACAACTTACAAACCTGGATTTTTAATGGATTATATGAGCACAAAAATGACAGAACAGAGATTTTAAAGTTCCTTGATGGCACTCATTCATGAGAGATGTGGGAACCAAGCAAAGAAAGGGAATCTCTGTGGGTATTATAGAACACTTCAATTTTGACACTTATTTTTGTGCCTTTCCCAAGAATAGTTATCTACATTACTGAGGCAAAATCCATGGGTTTACTGAGATGATTTAACTTTTCTTCACTGTTGCAGTTATGTTGTTAGAAAAACAACAGCAAATCCAATTCATTGACCTAAAAACAAACTTTAACACTGAGCTTACATTTTTCCTAAGGGATAAATTATATTTCTTAGATCTAAATCTAGCAATTGGGAAAGCACTTTATCTAGAGACTTTCTGCTGGAACTTCCAGACAAACAAATAAGGGTCAGCACTGTCATGAAATACATGTTATAACCATGAAGAATTCTCCTTCCTCGATCGACTCATCAGGCATCATCCCTTGTGTGCTTTCTTACGAATTTCAACCTCAGATTCTATGAAGAGTCTTTGTACAATGATTAAACCATGCCATATGGTCCTTGGTGCAGACAGTTACTTAAGGAGTCTGCTTCCACAGAGG